CCTTATGAAGGACTCTGTGGCGAAAAATCTTTCCTGGACTGGCACAAAACAAAAAAAATCTGTACAAGAGTTGTCTTGTACAGCTGCCATCAAAGGTGGGTTTTAATTTATCTAAAATTTTCATATATTTGCATATTAAAAATGTACATACTTTTCAGATGCCTTCATGAAAAAGTATCCAGCTGAATCTGTAGATGCCTGTGCCCAAAAAACTAAAAAATTTTTTTTGTATGCCAACGATAGATTAAACAAAATAGAAAAATACAAATCGAAAGCTAATTAAACCCATTTATTCAAATAACCGAATCCCTATTTACTTTAATTTTAATCACAGTAATTGTTTTTGCGCATTTTTATTCACTATTTGTTTTTTCACTTTCTTATATTTAAATCGCATTAATTGTTAATTAACATTTATTATTTATTATATTATTTAAAAACAAACAATACAAATATACATATACATATTTATATGTATAAATAAAAAGAATGCAAATATTTATCAAAAATGTTTTGTAGGTTAATTATAAAACTAATAGACGGTTATAAAAAATGCAAAAACCATATTTAAATGGAGATTTTACTATCGTCATTACTGGAAATTATAATACCGAAAACGATATCATAAAATTGTGGAAAAACGATATCATTAGGAAAGGTACAATTTTGTACGTAAATACTATCGTTCTCGATACGAGAACGAGTATCACTTATGATAGATTTTATCACCTAAGTGATATCGTTTCGATATCGTTATAATATCGTTTGGTTTACTGGGAAACTATAGTACCCATAAAGTAATAAGGCAAAGGGAGCTAAAAATAATTCTTTCTGCTCACTAGAGTATCGCAATAAAATATCAATTTACTTACAAGTTTGCATTTTTTCCCACATTCTAACTGTACTTTGTATTTTTGTAGTACCTTGACCCAAAATGTAGATTTAAATAAAATAAACACAATTTAATTGCTTACCACAATCTGTTTCCACATTCATGGGTAAATTTATTAAACAATGGCTTTTTTTCGTTTTTTTATTAAAATACATATTGCTTGTAATTTGTATAAACATGGACGGAATGCAAATTCTTAATAATACACAAAAAATATATATTATTCTGACCGAAATAAATATCAGTCGTAAAATTCACATACATACTAAATAAATGTATAAATATGTTGCATTTTTATTTAATTTTTACATAAATTGTTTAATAATATGATTTGTACATTTAATATTTTATATGTAATCGTTATAATTTGTTAATATCTATTATTTCAAATTGTGGGCGGAATAAAAAGACACAGAGATTCGCTTTAAAACTTATATGTAATAAAAATACTAAAGGCACAATTATTTGTAAAGTAACAACTTTTTTTGATAATCGAATGAACAATCCCTTATAAACCAACTAAAGGGATTTGTTTACTTATAATTTATATTGTAACTAATTTAAGGAATGTTAGAATTTCGTATTGTCTGTCGTATTAAAGGTATGCAATAACTACTAATGTCACACTACGCCTTTATCCACTATTAACGTAAATGGTCTCTATATTTTTAATGTTTTTTGTGTGTTTCGTACAGTCTTTATATTGTATAAAAAATGTAATGAATTGTAAAAAATTAAGAAGAAAAATGTTTATATATGAGCCTAAGTACCAACAACAAATTGTCTCCTAAATATTTAAAAATTGTCATTTTGCGCTTTGTCCAGTTATTGTTTAAATCGCTTGTAGTTTTGTTGGTAGTGTGGTTTATGGTATAAAACTTACGACTGTATCCAAAATTGAGTGACAAAGTGTAATTACTGCATTTGAAATTCATTATTTGCCACCATGCATCATTTCGAAACGTGTTTGAGATTCTTTAAATAAAGTGCGTTTGCGGCGTTGTACATTGGCTTCGGTTAGAAAAAGGGGTGCGGCCACTAGGGCCATTACGGCTCCCACACAGGCCAAAATGAAAGACCAGCCAAACCAATTGTTCGCATGTTCTGGCATCCAGTTGTTGCGATTCCCTAGACTAGCAAATACAATAACAGCAATACTAGCACATATACCTGCGCCCAACACCACATAGCCAATGATTTGTATAAGTTTTATGAAATACTTCTGATCAGGACCAGCACATAAGAAAAATATCAGAACACCAATACCCGATGCTAGCATACCAATAAACGCCAATGTGAAAAAGAACTGGGTGGCTATCATAAAAGCAGGCAATAAAAATCCTCTGATTTCATCATATCCTGTAGTAAAGGGATCGTATACCCAACGACATCCGACAAAGAAACGTCTTTGGCTGTCATCATTGACATCGGGCAACGATCGGAAGCAGTGCACCCACAGTCCTAATCTTTCCAATTTCGCTCCAGTGATACGATAATCACTTACCAGCCAGCTGGGTGTGGCAAATGCAATTGCGATGAAACCAAATGCCAGCACAAAGAAGCCAACAGCACAACTGCCAGATAATGTACGCCGCTTCATATTAACAGTAGATGTAAAAACTCTCGGTATATTCTCCTGGGAATCTTGTTGGGCAATGTGTGATGCTTTTTGCATTCCTCGTAAGTAATTAATTCTTTTAAGCTTTTATTTACCTTTTGTTGTTTCTATTGTATTGAAACCACACACTCAAAACAAAATGAAATGAAAAATCAACATGTATGCATAAAAGAGTAGTGAAATGCAGTGTTGTCGATATTTTTTTCATAATTTCCCATTAAACAATGACGCAAAAAGCGCTAGAAACTGAGAGATTTAAGAAAACGTAAAATTTAATCAGTAGCTGGTAATTTTTAATTGACCAAATAAATAAAAAAATCAATAAATGTTATAAAATATTAAGAATATTGAATCTCGACTATAGAGTAAGACTATAGATTAACTATAGACTAAAATTTTCGGAAAATATTGTAAGTTCTCCATTTTATATGTGAAATATTCAATGTTTATTACATTAGACTTGGAAAAAACGCCAGAAATGTACAAACGCTGGTAAATAATTCTCCAAATTTCCCGCTAAAATGCATTTTCCCACATTTGCCATTTCAAAAAACGTCAGATTTGACGAGAAAAACGTCAAATTAGCACACTGGTGTAATGACACAATAGATTGCTAATGTTACCAGATATATGTATCTGTACGTCTGCTATTATTGCAGCGTTTTTTTGGCGTAAATTTTTAACGGGTAATCTGATTTGTTTAATTACACATTTTTGACGAACTAATGTAGATATTTTTACTTAATTTTGCAATGTTAAAAAAAAAAATAATTTTTTGACTCTGAAACATTTTAAATTTGTGTTATTGATGACATGGACAATAAAATGTTCACTAATACAGTCAAACCCGTTTATAACGCACACGGTTATAACGAATTCTAGGTTATTAAGAATTATTTTTCAAGTCCCGAATTTTTGATAACTATTTTCATACAAAACCCATCTCTTATAACGAACTCGGTTATAGCGATTCCTCGAATAAAACGAATTAATTTCTCAGTCCCTAAAGTACAATTTAATGCAATTTTCCATTTTTATAACGAACTTTAAAAATTATTATAAGAAAATATTAAGCTTTGTTTCAAAAAACTCTAATTTGTAAAGAAATACCTATTTAAACAAATAAATTCAATGGTTGTTTTTGTAAAGAATATGAAATAATTTTATAATTCATGTTCTTTTAAGCAAATTACACTTTTTTCATTTACAAATACTTCACCAGTCTTATTAGGAACAAAGAAGCTGTAAATGTTAGGCAATGTGTTTTTGGTGAAATGACAAAAATGCTTTCGATGCTTAAGTTCTCGTGATTCTCACTTGTCGCGAAGCAGTTAAATTGCTCCATTACTAATGTTATAAAAAAGTACATATAAGAATGCAATGAAGAATTCTCCGATTTTTTTTAATAAAGTATTTCAGATTTATGTATATTCAAAGGTGTTAGTTATGTATTTTAAAGCTATACTTACATAAATATTTATGTATATGCATTTTTTTGCCTGCAAATTAATACAATGACCCCGGAGAAGAATGTGATTCATAAATATTATTTTCGTTTTTAATGCTGCGGCTCAAAAGGAATACGATCATAAAACGTAAGTAGCTAACTGCATTATCTCATGAATCATGCACATTTCGTTGAAACATATAAACTCTTAAAATGTCAGTATATTCCTCTTTTTATCTTTATAGATCTACTTTTTTTACTTCAATTTTTTTATTGAGCGCGACAAACGTAGTATTCAGTTTTCGTCATATCCACGTGAATAATTTTATTATACCTTTTTATGTTCGTTATACAATCTATTAATTATTTATATGTTCCAATCAGAAGAATTCATGGTTTATTTATAAATCCTAAAGATTCAAATTTATGCATACGATAAGTTTGCATTGTCGTCACAAAATTTGGAGGATAAAGATAATAGGTACAATTGGATGCTTAGATTAGATACTTTTTAGTAAAGTATTGCTAGGCCCATCAAACACGCTATACCTACATTTTTAAAAAAATTTTAGCGAATATTTTTTTTTTCTACATCATTTCCAATTGTTTCAGAATTACTATATTTCAGAAAATTCTAATATATAAATGGACATTTCTGAAATACAATAGAAATTTTTTAAATATAATTCGAATTGAAAAATTTTGAAATATACCTTAGAAATGTTTGAACATGTGATTATGAAAAGTGTTTAAGTTTATTTTAAAAATATTGCAATTTTTGGCATTAGTGTTTGATATTTTTGCAAGTATGCAGATTAGTTGTAATGTTAAAAAATTTGGTTCAAAATAAACAACTTTATTGCAAACCAACCACATGATGTGTGTTGTTTTAAATATGATTAAGCACAGAGTTCAATAAACGCACTCATGGTTAGCGAATTAAATAAATATTGTTTTTGCCAATATGTTTCGAGTATGCGCTTACATACATAAATAAAAACTACACTAACAACAAATATATCAATAATCAAACAAAAAAAAACTACAATTTAAATAAGTGTTTTATTTATTTTAAATTAATTTTAATGTAAAGTAGTATGTGACCGTTGTAACTGTTCCATGTTGTTGGGAGGGTGAGTAGTATTTGCATTATCCTTGTTCAATGTAATCATTGTTTCCATACGTGAACTTGTTTCTCTCATTACTCCTGTAATATCGGTAAAATCTGGTAAATCTAATGCCAAGTGCGCCGAAAATCGTTTGTAAACCGAATTCTTTTGTGTCTCCTTATCCAGCTTATTTTTGATTTGTTCATATTTCAATTGTTGCTTCAAAAATATGGAATTTTTTATCATATCCTGCACCTGATCAAATATACCATCTGAGTGTTCGATATTTTTCATTGCTCTGACAGCATATTCCATATCGAAACAATGTCCCTGTAAATTTTTTTGCAGCATTATAACTTCGATGCGTTTGTCTAAAATAGGCTGTATAACCTTGCGTACATGTTCTTGTATGCGAAAAAATGCTAAAGATGGATCATTTGCAACAATGTGTATATTTTCGGATATCTTATCGCTGGACTTTTTAACTTTTAGATTTAAATCCGTTTGTGCAGAACTCATTTTGTATTGGATAGTTTTTGTGTCTGTGAATAATATTAATAATAATTAATATTAATAATGATACTGAATATACATGAATATACATAGGCATTTACCGACATACATATGTAATTCTTAGTTTTTATAAAAGGTGCTGATTTAAGTATATTTTTTCGAAAATGAATATATCATGTTGTAGGCTATCATAGAGTTTTACTTGACCCGACTATTTTTTATTTTAAATTATTGAACATTCCCTTGATTCGTGTTCATAAAACTTTTTAATGTCTGCAAATGCAAATTTAAAAAAAAACTGTTATTTGTCCTCATGCTAAATAAATTTGCATTTTGTACAAAAAATATTGCGCGCGAAATATCCGATTTCTATTGAAACAATAAAAGTTGAATGTTTAAGCAATACTTTCCGTTATTAATCCTAATTCAGCATTTTCAACGAGTTCATGTGGCACTTCAATTTTGTTGACCAGTGTGATTTGGTGTTTTTTTATTCCAGTCGGACGAAAAGTTGCCAGATAATTGTTTGATTAACTTTTAGCGATGCATAATGATTTTATAATTCATTTCAGTGCTTTTTTTGGGAATACTTATATATCACAGAATTCTATTTGGATCGAAAGTGTGCCAATTGTGTTTCTTTATAAAAAGCGAAATGTCTATATTCAATTTAAGAAATATATTTGAAATTTGTGTGTTATTATTCCACTTTAAATCGGAATGGAATTCTGACTTTTTAAAAAAATAACAAAAACAACCGAAATAAAAATATAAAAAAAGAAAGATTTTTTCTCTAAAAAATTTGTTACCGTTAAGCTTTCGTTGCCGGTAAAATACAATTTTAGCCTTACTACCGTCAACAAACAATCGTTATTTTGTAACAATTTTCAAATTTTCTAATATAATTTCTTGTTAATTTCTGAAATATTTTTTAAAAACCATTTCCAAAACAAGTCTACTTACAATTACCGCTAAGATATTATATATTTTATTTATTGTTAATACTAAAAGCATTTGTGGCCAATAACGTATTTCATATGCATCTTAAAGTTTTTTTACATGTTTCTGCTATTTAACATATTTTTATATAATTCAAAATTGGTATAATGAAATGTAAAAAAAATAATTAAGTTTGAATTTAGCCTAATTACTATTACCGTCAAAATGCCGTTAAATAAATAAGCCTAAATACCGTTAAATATACCTTTTAACGTATGTAATTTTGAGTAGAAACCGTAGCACTGACAAATTATTATGAGTGTGGTGGACGAAGTTGAAGTTATAGTCGTTTTTAATACGATACTGCCAATATAAAACAAATAGGAATATTTAAATAGTTTTCGACATTTATAACACGGGTTTAAGAAAACGACTGATTATCGATTATCGACGATCATATTTATGTGGTATTTTAAGCGGTTTTATTTATTTTTGCGTTTTTTTAATATTAAAATTGACAATACTGTATTTATTATTAACGAATAAAGAGAACAAAATAATACAAGCAAACAATGAGACATCGAATGAAAAAAATCGATTATATAGAAAAAAAAATGTTGAAATATACATTATTTTGTTAATGCTTAAACAACTGAGCCAACATTGTTTACTAATTTATTTCATATCAAATACGTGCATATATTATGCCAATATGTAAATGCGGGTTACAATATCGTTAAATGTAAAAGCTATTTATTACTCCATTTTAATTGTAAGACCACAACTGTTGCATAACGCACTCATACAAAACACCACAAAACATTTTGTTTTATTATATTTATTTCAAAAAAACTTACAGGCTTCTTTTTATTATAAAATAATGTTCTTTATTCAGAAGAAACTGTAAAATACTAGCGATGGTATCGATACACTTTTTGTTTTGTTTATTTTTTCTTTTTTTGTTTTTCGATTTTTTTTATATTTGTTGTATCGACACTTCTCTTTTATGTGTCAAACTATATTTTGAGTACTTTTAGTGCTGCATAGTGTGCGTTTTACATTTTAGTCTTCATTTGCTTGTAAACGTGTTTGATTGTGTGAACGGGCGTTTGTTTATTTAATAAAGTTGAATTTAAGGAAAGTGCTTTAAGCCGAATTTTAAATTAAAGTTTTGTTAATATATAAACAAATATCTTTATCATTTTATAAAAGAAAATAAGTGCAAATGAAATGTACAATTTTTGTTAAACGAATTTCGTATTTTACCCAGCAGCCAAATATTCGATTTTGAAGAAAAAAAAAAAAAAACAACCAATGAATCTCTCTTTTGTTTTCAATTCTCTTCTCTTCGATAACAACATTCATACATACATACATATCGATGTATGTATTTTTTGTTTACGTTTTCTTATTCTTGCTTTTATGTTATTTTGTTTGTTGTATTTTGGTATTCGTTCACGAATTAAAAAAGACACAAAAACATACAAAGGTGTCTCACGTTGGATATAATTTTTTTAAATAAAAACTGACGAGTTTTTTGTCAATACTTTTTTGGATCTTACAGTATGTACTAACACACAATATAATTAAAAAAAAACAAAAATTTATAACAAGTTTGTTAAAGTTAATTTAAACAAATTGAAAAGATCGTACATACATATGTATTTATAATGTACACAAAATGTACTTGTTAACAGTCACTGTTAAACACAACAGCGGCAGTAGCCGCCAGTCGCATCGTAGCAAAGTTTTAATTGAACTTATTATTACTGTATGTATTTGTTAGTTTTGTAGTTTTTTTGCGGCAAAACACGTCATAATATAATAAAAAGTGAAATTAATTAAATGTATCATGTTCTTTCCTAGGCACTACAATTAAGTTTAAAATAATAGATATTTTTTTAGATTAGAATGATCTGAAACTTTTTAAATCTTACCTTGATAAATGTAGATATTGTATGTAACAGGTATATCTTTTTACAAGCAACAATAATGTTTCTTCTGAGTAGATTTGTATATCCTGTAACCAAATCACTGGTCACAATTTCCGATATAGCATTTCCATGAAATTTTGTTGTTTGTACAAAGTTCTTATTAAAGAATTTTTATGACAATCGGTCAACAATTACAGAATGCACCATATAGGACCAGGTCTACATGCATACGTACATATATTTTTGAAATCCTACATTAACAGTTTAAACATTAATTACGATTTTTAATTTAAAAACAGTTTTGGTATAACGACGTTGAAAAAATTTACTGACTCTGGAATTTGAGCATGTGCAATAATATGAAAATTAACATTACACAGTGCTACAAGATACAATACTTAGAATAAAAACATAAAATTTCGATAATATGTAATATTAACTACCTACATATATTTAATTAATAAAAAAGAAATATTACTAATATTTGTTTCAGTCATGTTTTTAAATTTTTTACGTTGATTTTATTATTGAATGAATTCAATATACATATATACAGCGGTGGCCATGAGGTTAGCACACTTAGTATATGTTACCTATAACATCAAATATTTCCTAGAGCACACGCACATAACTCACGTCCTTCAAGGATCACGATACATTACATTTTATTCCATACTTTGTTGCATATAGATTTTTCCAAAGTACATCTTTCCCCACAAAAATCTGTACATTTATTTAGCACAAATTTAAAAATTAAACAAAACAACAGGCTAAATTCATTTAATTTCACTTAAAATTGGACAATATTTAAAATGAATATAATGAGAAAGTTTTTCTGGATCGCCTCATATAAAGTCGACTTCTGAAAAATCATTAATAGTAAATAATTCATTACTTCATTACGTTATTTTGATTAAATTTCACACCGAACATGTTTTGTATATATACAAACAAATTTTCCGGATCGATCCATTATTGACTATAGCTTCCATATAAAGTCCACTTCCGAACATGACTTAATCGTAAAAAGCTCTTGTATTTGTAATAATATCGGAATAAAATTCGACTCAAATAAGTTTTGTATATTTGTACATATACAAATCATTCTGCGAAACTATTTCACGATCGGTCCATTTCTATCTGTAAGGAAAGTATGTTAAGTATAACTTACATTATATAGTGCCATATAGTTCTAGGTGATCAAGTGATTTTACCAAAAACTAAACCCAGATAAGAAAATTCTTAAGCTTAAATCAATCTCATCAAAAAAAATTACTTATGTTGAAATTACAATGTTAGAAAATAATATAGAGGCACACAAATCATCATGTTAGATTACTATAAATTAGTTAAGTAAACAAATATGCATCATATGTTTGCATTACTAAAAACTGAATCAAAATTACTGTCTAATTTAAAAATGTACATACTATGTCCAGTTAAACATTGTTAAATCAAGGGTGTGAAGTTAAATTCGTCGGCCAGATACGTCCCACACCACATATGTCAAATACGTTCCACATACTATAAAATTCGTTTTCAAATGAATTAAAATTTATTTTTTAATAAAAAGAGCACCAAATAAAATGTTTTTTTAAGAAATAAAGTAAAATTATATTAAAATATATAAAAAAATTAATATATAAAATAAAAATTAGTTAAAATAATTTTATACTCGTCAAATATGGTAGTAAAATATAGAATTTTCAAATGCAAAAAACAGACACTTGGAGAAGACATGAATCGGGGTACCGGCAGAGTGGAAGTAGCCCAGGACTAGTTCTTTCCAAAAACATATAGATTGTATGCAATTCCAGCTCTGGATAATTTTGAAAATTTTTTTGAAAAATCATCAAATTTTGATAAAAATAATGGAATTTTCAAGTGGCTCCAAAGAGCATTTGGAGAAGACATGAATCGGGGTACCGAAAAACTGGAAGTAGCCCAGGACTAGTTCTTTCCAAAAATGTATAGTTTATATGCAATTCCAGCTCTGGATAATTTTGACGAATTTTTGAAAAATCATCAAATTTTGCCAAAAATAGTGGAATTTTCAAGTGGCTCCAAAGAGCATTTGGAGAAGACATGAATCGGGGTACCGAAAAACTGGAAGTAGCCCAGGACTAGTTCTTTCCAAAAATGTATAGTTTATATGCAATTCCAGCTCTGGATAATTTTGACGAATTTTTGAAAAATCATCAAATTTTGCCAAAAATAGTGGAATTTTCAAGTGGCTCCAAAGATCATTTGGAGAAGACATGAATCGGGGTACCGAAAAACTGGAAGTAGCCCAGGACTAGTTCTTTCCAAAAATGTATAGTTTATATGCAATTCCAGCTCTGGATAATTTTGACGAATTTTTGAAAAATCATCAAATTTTGCCAAAAATAGTGGAATTTTCAAGTGGCTCCAAAGAGCATTTGGAGAAGACATGAATCGGGGTACCGAAAAACTGGAAGTAGCCCAGGACTAGTTCTTTCCAAAAATGTATAGTTTATATGCAATTCCAGCTCTGGATAATTTTGACGAATTTTTGAAAAATCATCAAATTTTGCCAAAAATAGTGGAATTTTCAAGTGGCTCCAAAGAGCATTTGGAGAAGACATGAATCGGGGTACCGAAAAACTGGAAGTAGCCCAGGACTAGTTATTTCCAAAAATGTATAGTTTATATGCAATTCCAGCTCTGGATAATTTTGACGAATTTTTGAAAAATCATCAAATTTTGCCAAAAATAGTGGAATTTTCAAGTGGCTCCAAAGAGCATTTGGAGAAGACATGAATCGGGGTACCGAAAAACTGGAAGTAGCCCAGGACTAGTTCTTTCCAAAAATGTATAGTTTATATGCAATTCCAGCTCTGGATAATTTTGACGAATTTTTGAAAAATCATCAAATTTTGCCAAAAATAGTGGAATTTTCAAGTGGCTCCAAAGAGCATTTGGAGAAGACATGAATCGGGGTACCGAAAAACTGGAAGTAGCCCAGGACTAGTTCTTTCCAAAAATGTATAGTTTATATGCAATTCCAGCTCTGGATAATTTTGACGAATTTTTGAAAAATCATCAAATTTTGCCAAAAATAGTGGAATTTTCAAGTGGCTCCAAAGATCATTTGGAGAAGACATGAATCGGGGTACCGAAAAACTGGAAGTAGCCCAGGACTAGTTCTTTCCAAAAATGTATAGTTTATATGCAATTCCAGCTCTGGATAATTTTGACGAATTTTTGAAAAATCATCAAATTTTGCCAAAAATAGTGGAATTTTCAAGTGGCTCCAAAGAGCATTTGGAGAAGACATGAATCGGGGTACCGAAAAACTGGAAGTAGCCCAGGACTAGTTCTTTCCAAAAATGTATAGTTTATATGCAATTCCAGCTCTGGATAATTTTGACGAATTTTTGAAAAATCATCAAATTTTGCCAAAAATAGTGGAATTTTCAAGTGGCTCCAAAGAGCATTTGGAGAAGACATGAATCGGGGTACCGAAAAACTGGAAGTAGCCCAGGACTAGTTCTTTCCAAAAATGTATAGTTTATATGCAATTCCAGCTCTGGATAATTTTGACGAATTTTTGAAAAATCATCAAATTTTGCCAAAAATAGTGGAATTTTCAAGTGGCTCCAAAGATCATTTGGAGAAGACATGAATCGGGGTACCGAAAAACTGGAAGTAGCCCAGGACTAGTTCTTTCCAAAAATGTATAGTTTATATGCAATTCCAGCTCTGGATAATTTTGACGAATTTTTGAAAAATCATCAAATTTTGCCAAAAATAGTGGAATTTTCAAGTGGATCAAAAGGACATTTGGAGAAGACATGAATCAGGGTACCGTAAAACTGGAAGTAGCCCAGGACTAGTTCTTTCCAAAAACATATAGTTTGTATGCAATTCCAGCTCTGGATAATTTTGACGAATTTTTGAAAAATCATCAAATTTTGCCAAAAATAGTGGAATTTTCAAGTGGATCAAAAGGACATTTGGAGAAGACATGAATCGGGGTACCGAAAAACTGGAAGTAGCCCAGGACTAGTTCTTTCCAAAAACATATAGTTTGTATGCAATTCCAGCTCTGGATAATTTGACGAATTTTTGAAAAATCATCAAATTTTGCCAAAAATAGTGGAATTTTCAAGTGGCTCCAAAGAGCATTTGGAGAAGACATGAATCGGGGTACCGAAAAACTGGAAGTAGCCCAGGACTAGTTCTTTCCAAAAATGTATAGTTTATATGCAATTCCAGCTCTGGATAATTTTGACGAATTTTTGAAAAATCATAAAATTTTGCCAAAAATAGTGGAATTTTCAAGTGGCTCCAAAGAGCAT